GTGGCAGGGTTGGTCACATCAGCAGGGATTTCCCTCAAGGGGCAAGCCCATTATGTTTTCACTGCGATCGGGTGGGCCACAAGAGGGTCGATTGTCCGACGACGAGGGGAGGATCAATGAGCGCGCCTGCCCTAGATACTTTGAGGATCACTGATCGACAAGAGGGTAGAGCAGGAGCCCCAACAGAGAGGAGTCGGAATTTGCAATGACATGCCAGAGAGACCAGGATTACAGCAGGCGGTGTTGCGGGTATGTATCTTTTTGCTCTTTTTGGTTCTATCTGTATTTTGTGGTTGTCTTGCATCGGTTTTGGGTAAGTGTATCTATGGGTTTAACTCCCTGTTTGTGTTTGGATTATATTTTCAAGAAATGTCATATGCCAATTTGCATACCATGAATTACTAAGTGGTTAGTGAAAGGTCGTTCCCCTTTTAGCTGGATTGGAGTGTTCAGTGTTATCTTGGGATAGGGTCGAGATCGGTTCAGGAGCATTATGTGAATGCTTGCGGTCAGGGTCCGTAGGATGGTTATTCAACACCGTCAGGATTCAGTGGTTGTAGTGATTATTCTTGGAGTGCCTGTTGGAAGCGCCAAGGGAAGGGGCTTGTTGTCGAGGCATTGGTCAGAGCATCTGTCTTTTGGAATTCAAGATTTAAGTGTGGTACCAATTCAAGGCATTTGGAGTTAGCAGTATTGCTGGGATTCAGAAAGTGTTCATCTAGTCTTCAAGGGTTGTATGTTATGTTAAGTTTGGCAAGTAATGGGTCGCTAGCATTGGTAAGCGCCAATTGTCAACAGATCGATCATTGGAAGGTAGGAGGGATCGAAAATCCTTCCATTTCTCGTATGCCGTGGAGACTTAGTAGAATCGAAGAGGGGGAGAATCGTTCGGGTATCCAGGTCAAAAGCAAGTGCAAGATAGGATGAGCTCGTATCCCTATCGGGGAAAGGAAAGCGGCCCAAGTGGTTGTTCGAATGGGGAATAGTGTAGGTGGAAAGTTAAAAAAAACGTCCCGGTTTTGGAACCACATCTGATTGGAGTGTGATAGAAGACTATGGGGAACCAGGTTAGGGATTCCAGTCAGGACATGAATTCAGTTTGGGATGTTAGATCATGTGTGTGCTTGACTTTGGATGTGATTGGATTGGCAATCAGCGGTTGAGACATCATGGAAAGTATTGTAAGACTGCGGGATAACCGTAGCATTCACTAGTGGCCAGATAGCATGTGAAATGTTGTAAGACTACGGGGTGGCCCGTAGCATCCATTAGACAACCGATAGTGTAGAAGTGTTGTAAGACTGCGGGGTGGCCCGTAGCATACACTAGTTAGCAGGTAGTGTAGAAGTGTTGTAAGACTGAAGGGTGGCCCGTAGCATTCACTAGTTGGCAGATAGAGTAGAAACGTTGTAAGACTGCGGGGTGACCCGTAGCATTTGTTAGTTAGTCGTTAGTATAGTGGTATAGTAAGACTGCGGGGTGACCCCGTAGCATTCTCTAGTGGTCATTTAGTATGGGAGTGCTGTAAGACTGCGGGGTGGCTCGTAACATTCACCGGTTCCTATTCGGCAGTGAGAATGTGCCAGATCTGTGATTCACTCACGGATTCCTTCAGATGGTTTAGGCCACAATATGATTGGACTCAGGAAGTGGTAGGTCGTTGGAGACCAGGCGTGATGTAAGACTACAGTGGTTCTAGTAGCATTCACTTTTCGTATTAGATTCAGTTGCGACAGATTATCGGACTGTTATGATCGGGAGGATCAAAAGGAATAATGGAGCCATGAGCAATACGTTTAGGACATATTTCGATAGCCGAAGTCCTCTTCAGAAGTTACGGGGAAGGGCAATTGTGTGGGACTCTTTTGGCTCAACAACCGGGCTAGAACCCGATATTCCAGATGACCAGCCAACGAATTGAGACCAGGGAGGCCTCAGTGGAGTTAGAAAGCAGTCTAGAGGCAACATGCTGTTTCCGATAGTTCTAGTGTTTCGGGCAACATCCGTTCGGGTTAGACCGAAGGGGTAGGTCGAGCACCCAGATATGCTCGACAGTATCCGGTTGAAATAGACCGAAGGGGAGGCCAGTACCCAGATATGCTTGGCAGTATTAGTGTTTTAGGATTTCATGTATGGATGGAGTAACTGATTGCTTGGGTAAAGCTAAGTCACTCACAGCGAGATTAAATAATCTTAAAGTAATTGATTTGACCCTGTTACGCAGCTCTCGTCTGAGTCTAACCATTGCATGGATGGATCCTCTACTCGAAGGATTATCTGACCCTTCTGTCGAGTATAAGTGCTCTGTAGCGGTATATGGTCAGTGATTTTGCTTCGCTCGAGGTAGCAATGTGATCACGTATTGGAAGCAATTTGTATGATGCGAGACTCTATGGGGTTGGTGTGGTGGCAGATCTGACAAGGAGTCAGGCTATTAAGACTTAGACTTCGAATTTCAGGTGAAGTAGGAATTGTTTTGGTTTGAGAGATTGAGGATTCGTTCTTCACCAGGCTTGAAAAATTGCTCCAAGGATTCGTTGTATGATCAGAGTTGGAAGGGTTGTGACTGGTTTTCCATCAGTTGAGAGATTGACAGAGAGTTGTTTCAGCATGGGCGAGCTGTCGGGAAGTCAAGTTATTATAGATCTCAGGTATCAGAAGGTAGAAATGGCTTGCAAGGGTTGAAGGTTTGGATGATATGTCCAGGATAGAAGTTTCGATTGCCTTGGGAAGGCCTTTGATTACCCGGGGTGGTGGTTGTACCCTCAGGATGGTGGGTGTCAGTACTCGTGGGAAAACATCAGTTGGTTCATGGCAAATAGCGAGATCCGCATGCGTAGCGCGTGAGCTGTTTTCGGGGTAGGTGATTGCAGTGGACTTCGAGGACGAAGTCTATTTTAAGTGGGGGAGAGTTGTAACACCCGGAATCTAGAAGGAAAAATTAAGGAAATATAGTCTTCATTTCTAAAGGTCAACTTGTCGAGTTTCGGCAAGAAACTCGACGTGTTGGAAAGTTTGGCCGCGTGTTTTTGGAAGACCAACTCAACGAGTTGGGGAGGATCAACTCGACGAGTTGGACGGGGTTTGGGAAACCCTAAAATCGGGACTTTACACCCTATTTAAACAAATTAATCCCTAGGGTTTGGCCTAATTTCCAACCTCCAAGTCTCTAACCCTAAACCTCGAAACCCTAAAGAATATTTGAGTGATTGTGAGCCACTTTGAGTGTTTTTGTGGGTGCTTCAAGCTCTTGGAATGAACGAAATCTTGAAGGAACAAGGAGGAGTTGCTAAATCCAGAAACCTCACTCCATTATCGATACTTTCTGGTAATCAAGTCTCAAACTTGCCAAGTAGTTGATTAGATCTCCATTTAGTGTCCTTTTTGTTTGTTTTGGTCCAAAGGAGATGATTATTGAGGAGTTGGACGTCCCAAGTGGAGAACACTTCAGATCTAGGGTCTTGAGGGGCTTTCATGGCATAAAGGTGCCAACTTTATGGCCCTAGAAGCCCCATGCAACATCTAAGCTCTTGTTTTAACCTTTCAAGCTCCAAATAGCCATGCATGTGGTTAAAGTTTAAGACTTTACGTGCCCTTCTAGTCCCTAGAGTCCAGATCTATGTTCTTATGCCCTATCTTGAAGTTTTGAGGACTTTTGGATTTAGATTTAAGCCTTTTTGGAGTTAGGGTTTGAGCTTAATCTCTCTAGGAAGGATATTAATGGGTAAAGTTGGAAACTTTACCCTTCCAGAGGCATTTCCAGTCGAGATCTGAAGTATAGGGTGTAGATATGAGGAATACTAGATTAATGTGTTTAGAAGGGGTTAATAGACTGAAGAACTCGACGAGTTGAATGGAAGTGTCCTGATTCTGTGATAGGGAAGAACTCGACGAGTTCATGGAAGAACTCGACGAGTTGGATCGCGAAATCACAATTTTGTGATTCATGGAAACTCGGTGAGTTGAAGGGGTAACTCGACGAGTTGATTCAACTCGGAGCGTTGACTTTGACCTAGACTTTTACTTTGACCAAGGTTGACTACTAAAAGGGTACTGAGCATGATATGGTATCTAAGGGATTGTTTTGGTTTAGGTATTGAGTAGAGCTGATTCCGGAGCAGAGACGTTTCAGCTATCATCCGACATTTGAGGTGAGTCTCCTCACTGTTTATACGGGCCAAAGGCACCAATGTCGTACCATTTGGTTTATGTATTGTACGAAGACCCGAGGGTTAGCCCTAGGCATTATGTATGAAAGACCAGGAGGTGGCTCCTGGCACAATGTATGTTATTAGCTAAGTAGAGTAGATTGTATGCTAGTGGTCTTTGTGATACTTGCATGGAAGACCCGGAGGTGGCTCCTGACACTTGTCTGTAAGACCCAGGGGGTGGCCCCTGGCTTGACAAGAAAGACCACGAGGCGGCCCGTGACATAACGGCAAGACTATGTGCGACACATAGCATCTTATATGACTATGATTGATATGTATGGCTCACGGTTATGTATGGCATGTATGGATATGATCTATATGTATGGTATATGGTATTTGGGGAACTCACTAAGCTTCGTGCTTACGGTTTTCAGTTTTGGTTTTAGGTACCTCCATTTTTCAAGTAAGGAGCTCGGGACGATCGCAGCGCATACACCCATGTTTTTCCACAATGTGTGATCTTTGGGATTAGACTCTGTTGAAATATTTTCAATGTCTGGAACAAAGTTATTAAAGTGTTTTCTTATATTAAAAATGAAATTTTTCCCTTAGATTTTTTGGATGTTACAAGATCCCCATAATAAACAATTAAAAGAAGGGTTTTTGGCACTGTAGCACAAGGAAGTTTGGCCAATTTACACATTTAGTCACTCAAGTTTTTTTTTTTTGTGTAAAATTAGTCACTAAAGTTATAATTTACATATCAATTACACCATTTTGTTCCCTGATACCGGAAGAATCGGTAAATTTACTGATGTGACATTTTACTTTTAAAACACATTAAAAATTATGAAGGCCACATACACTTCCTTCTCCTTCGAGTGGAACTGTACTCCCTTCAAGGTAGCGATGACGAACACCATCTTCTTTTTAGATCTATCGCAACCTCCTTCTCTCGTTCTCCCCTCCTATGAACCCAAACCTGCCTGCAAAGTCTCTTTTCCGACACCCATTCTTCCACTGTGAGTGAGATAGAGAGAAAGAGTTAGAGGGAGAAAGTGAGTGAGATTGAAGCATCTTACTGAGTCACATCGACATTGAAACGTGGTGCTTGCCGCCACCTGATAAGTTTGTAGATGGGAGAGGAAACGATGTCGAACGGCGTCGACCCGTGTGACCCACTATAGCAGTCAACGACATCCATATGAGTGACCACACCCCGCCTATGAATCAGAGAACGAAACCCATAATCAAGCAATCCAAACATCACCAACTACAAAACACAGTATAGTCATTTGATTGAAATCAGTTGCAGGTTGAATGCTGCAAAACCCAACATCATCGACTACAAAACCCAACAAATGAACATACATGGGTTTGATTAAAGGGAAAATGTTGGATACACATGAAGATACCTAAAAATAGAAGCACTATCCATTGCAACCTATGATCAGAAAAAAATGAAGATCGATACTTTGACCCTTTCAACTGAACCTCGTTCCTACGATTATCCTTCGTGATTGCCCCGGTGAAGTCTTGATGTTATTAATGTTTCTAATCATTGTGGTTTTGTCATCCATGAGCACGACTAGTAGTTCGATCGTTTATAACCATTGATTCCAAAACCTCAAGGTCCCTACTAAAATATTGATTTAGACGTTCTTTATTTGTATCCTAGGATGTCCCAGCGATAAATAGATTGCCAAGATCGAATGCATTTTCTGTACACCAAAATCAAAGCATTAACGCCTAATTTTTGTAAACGATTTGACTATATGCAATAAAAACGATGTCTGGTTATGGAAACAAGAAATCCATCGGGAATTAGAAATCAAATGGCTTACAAATATGAAATTCATAACTTAAATGACAGATCAAATTAACACAGAACCCCCGTTGGGTTGTAGAAACACATAGATGAGCGTCGTCGTCGGCTGAAGAAGCAGCGCCAAAGGAGGAAGAAAAGGTTTGTTTCGTGTGTGCGTGTTTGGAGTAAGGCGCATGTGTTTGGAGTAAGACGCAGTTTAAAGTTTTCTTTCACAGGTGTGTGAAAGAGACCGAACAATATAGAGTTTTTTTTTATTTTTTCAATTTTAAAAAAAAATAAAAGGAATTACAATATCAATCTTCTCTTCTAATAAAATATCACAACGTGACATTTTCTCTGCTCTCCTCCTACTTTTTTTTCCCGCCCATGTTATCAAACTGAAATTCCAACTCTATCCTTGTGCTGCTATATAATCGCATGTCATATTAACTCCACTTCTACTCTTTTGAAATTCAAATCAGCTACGTGATTTATATCAAGAAATCATTAATTCTGAAAACCTAACATTCCAAAGAATCAACAATTACACAGCAACAAATCAGGAAACAGTATTATCTCCAAATCAACAATTAAATCGCAATAAACAGTGAGGCTTCTCTCTTTATCTTTTTTCTTCTTTAACGATCTGAAGCTTGAGGGGTATCGGAGAGCTAAAATAAGGGATTTGTTTACCTTGATGACTTATTATTATTTTTATTTATGTTCGATTTAAGTGTCCTTTTAATGCATGAAGTCACAGGTGACGAGCAGTTTCATTTTGGGTTTGGGTCAAGTGCCAAGTTGTTGAAGATGTGTCTGTGTGTGGTTTTAGAGAATAGATAATGGGTTTGGATGAATTTAGGTCAATTTTGTCAAGTTCAGGACCGGATGTTTGGGGGGTTATTCGATGATTCGGTCGTTGTTTCGTGCTTTACCTCCACAATCTGATTTTTGAAGATGACGAAGAAGTAGATCCATACGAAGGGTTATTCGTCTATGAGTATACCAAAATTCTCAGGATCAAAGAACAGCCAGAAGATCCATACTAGGTTTAATTCCTAATTCGTTTATCTCTACTCATGTTTTTTCTCAAATGGTTATATTATTCATTGTAATATGGTGTAGATTATGTTACAATGAACTTCATGGAAGGAGAAATCAAGGAGGGATCACCGAAAATCTTGAATAAATTAGCATTATGAAGGTAATTCATTCCTTTTTTTTTTGTCAATTTCCCTATTTAGTCGATTAGCTGAAGGTAATCCTACAGGTTTCAACCCTAATTTTTAGATATGCTTATCATCAGACCTCTTTTCTCTTCTCCAATCCTCTACCTGGCATCAGGGATGATTCTGTTTTGTGTTTCAAGTCCAGTGTTTTGCTCAATATTATCATCAGACCTCCTTTCTCTTCTCTAATCCTCAATATTTTTAGATATGCTTATCATTAGACCTCCAATCCTCTTCTTCAGTCTTCTTTCTGGCATCAAGTATGATTATGTTTTGTGTTTCCAATCCAATTGAAGCTTTTGTCTCCATGTTGAAGTTCTCCCACACATTGTGGCTTTCACCCAACGCATTTATGTGGATTAGTTTATTTATTTATAAGTTTGTTGAACTGATTGATTTACTTAAAACTTGGGTTCTGTTAGATTCATTTTAGTTTTGTGTTTTTCCCATGGAGATGTAACTTCATAAGATCCTTACTGATGCAACATAAGTCACAGAAGCTGACACTCCTATTGCCTTTTTTGTTGTACTTTCTTATAAATCTGTTTATGGAGAAGATTTTCTGTTTTATTCTTTTTAACCTCAGGTCATTGCAGTTTCAAAGTCATCAAACATTGTGTTAATGGTTCTTGATGCTTCAAAAGTAAGTCCTTGCAGTACTTCCATGTTTGCTTCTTTATAATCATTTTGTGAAACATTTTTATATATTTTTTTAGAATGAAGGGCATCGACAGATATTGTGTTGGCTTGCGGTTAAACAAGAAACCACCCCAAGTAATATCTTAAACCTTATTTTTATGTCAAGTATTTGTTTTTCTTATATTTGTTATTGGCTTTTTGGATATCTTTTCATAGATACATTTAAAAAAAAAAAGTTAGGGTATTTCTTTTAATAGAACCATACAACTCAGGCTACTGCATGTATACAATTTGACTACGATGCACATACTTTTGGGAGAATGCAACAAAAGAAATGTGAAGGATAATACGATATGAATATGGTTTACTTTGAAGTGACATCAAAGGTCTTTCAAAGAAGTCAAAGTTGACTTTCCAGAAAGTAGTCAAAATACAGGTGTTGCTTCTTCTTTTTAATATGATGGAATTCAATGAACAATGGAATGGAATGAACCATTTCATTGTCATGTTTACTTGGCTCAAACGAATGAGATTAGTCATTTATATGATACTTTTTACTTTGTTATGTTTAATTAGAAATCCAAATGAAATTAAATTGATAAATAAAGAAAAAATATTATATTATTATAACCCATTTTTTGTTGAAACCCGAATGGATCTCCTCAAATGCAATATATCTGAAAGAAAAACACAGAACTGAAATGCTTGGGTATATGCCCATGTTTACTTTTTGACAGCTTCTAATTAGTTCTTAGAGTAAACTACAGTTTCGGCCCCTGATAATAATTGGTTTTTTGTAATTTTGGTCCTTATTTGAGATTTTGAAACATTTTCCATATTTTTTCCAAGTAACATGACTATATTTATGAGACCAATATTGTAAAAAGTAACCATACTCATAGACGAAAAGTACTCATTTTACTTGGAATGGACCAAAAATATTAAAAAAAACCCTCAAACAAAGACCACTATTCCAACATTTTTCTTCCAAAAATAATCATTTTACTTTGAACAACATGAAAAAAAGATTACAAAAACATCAGAAAAATACGAAACTTCAAGGGAAAACTTTTTGACACCAAATTTTAACCAAAAATATCTTAGTTTTAGCCTAAATGACCGTAAAATGCTACTTAGATTTTGATTGTCATGTTTACCCATATTTGTTTTCTAATATAAAAAACATTTTTTTTTCTGTGATGTTACTTGCCACATGTACGGGTAGATGGGAATTTTACATGTTATCGATTAAATTTTTCAATGTATACATGCTGAAAGCTCAAAATGTTGATTTCAAGAGCTATTTTAATGCAAGGATTTGCCAATAGGGTTGCACTTTCTACCACTATTGCTTCCAAAAGTCAACTTTTTGTAGCAGATTAAGATCAACATTGTGAACAAAAGGAGAAAACCTATGTTAATGTCATCAATGTTTCTGTAAGTTGCTCTTTTGTTAGTGTTGGATGCAAGTAATAGTAATGTACTTTCATTGATGCGTTTTTTTACAACATCCTACTTCCTTTGTTCCTATTATAACACTGTACTTTGAAAGTATATTGATCTAATAAGAAATTTCTTGAAAGTACAATGCCATAATTTTGTACCTTTTTCAAAGTGCAACACCTTTTTGAGAAAACTTTTAAAAAATCTATGTTTTACAGCATGTTATCGAAATTCAAAGTTACATGCAATAACAAAATTTGATGGTGTGTGCAAACTGTTGTAATTATCTCATAAGATCTTATACTTTTTTTTGTATGTGACTTAAGATGGAACTCCAACCTGTTGCTGGGATTGGATCTGAATGTCACCTACTAAAGGTCTTGTAGGTGGTGCTCCAAGACTTTGCTCGAGCCCTATTACCTGGTTTCATCAGAAGAAGAATCTAATTTATAGACGAAATATGCAACCTAGAACTAATGTATGTAACATTTTGGGATTATAACATTGTTAATTGTCTAAAATCATGAAACATTATTAAAACTTAGATAAGCTCTCCTTTTTCTATTGGACCAATTCTGATAACTGATCTGAATGTTCATATTGCCTTGTACTTGGATGACATTGCTATAGTTTGATAAATTTTCCAAATCAAAAGAAAAAAAAAACTGCAATAAGAAAACAAATAACTGAAAGTACATTGCTATTTCTTATAGGAAATGAGCCAGCTGGAATTGGAGGATGAGGTTGGAGATGATCTAAAACGTTCAAGTGGAGAATTTATCAAAGAGGGAGATGCTACAAATAAACTCAACTGGATTCTCCAACTCACTGGATTCAGTGATCCAGCTTATGCTGAAGCATATGTTACTGTTAATCGCTATGATATTGTACTTATTGTAACTATTATCAACAGAACCAAAGAAACCCTTCAGAGTATCTGTCTGGAGTTGGCAACAATGGGTGACCTTAAACTTGACACCCTTGCCCCTAAATCAAGAAAGCAGATAAAAGAAAACATTAAGGCGTCATCAACTGAGATTGGGGTCATATTTGGAAACTTTGTTCATGAAACTTCAAATTTGTTGAAGTGCACTGCTATTGTCCTCAATGATATTCATATTGACATTATGGATTACATCTCTCTAGCTGGGGTCATATTCAGGTAAGTTTTGGGCAGTTTGCAGCATACGATTTTTAATTATATATATATATATATATATATATATATATATATATATATATATATATATATATATATATATAAGAGTAGGATCAAATGAGAACACCTAAAAGGTTGAGAACGCGAGAACAGATCTGGACCATCTAATTTTTAAGATGTGTGGCTATAATTAATTGTTATTTTTCTAATTATTAATACATTTAAAATTTAAATTTCAAATTAAAGAAAATTATAAAGGGTATTCAGGTAAATAAACATTACCCTAATTTTTCTAAACTCCTATAATTACTCTCTGCCTCTCTATTCCGTTGACCTAATTTCATACACCATACAATCGACACCTTCATCACACAGCCGATCCCAAGTACTTCCGTTTTCCTTTTCCCTTGCTCGACAGATGAACCATCCACATCGAATGATGATGGTTCCTGATTTCACCCCAAATGTCGATTTTTTGTTGTTTGCTCCTTCCCCCATTTGTGCGCTGCTGATGACGACGATTAAGCCACAAGGGTCGCCGAAGAATCGACGCCTTTCCTTCCCCTCTTCCCTCTGTCTCTTCAACCTCTTCGAACCCCTCAGACGATCGCAATTGGACACAACATCCTGAATATCGGACAACACACCTGCGATGCGAGGAAGGGAATAGAGACGAGCGAGAGAAAGGGAGTGACGGGAAGGAAGCCTTCATTCCACCTTGGGCTACGATGAACTCAACAGTACCGATTCACTCTTGATGTCGCTGTAGTCGATCGACAAGGAAGGAAAAAAAGGATCATGAAGGGGGGGTGCGTGATTGGCGATGCAAGAAGAGGGAGAAATTTTGACAGGATTTTGTATGAAATTGAAGCTATAAATCAACAATTGGTAACTTTTGATTCTTCCTTCTATTGTGTTCGTAGGTCAAATTCTAGCAATCAGATATCCTTCACTACAGTGGTGAATAAATTCAATCAACATAGTCAGTTGTGTTCGTTATAATCACTTATGATTATAAAAATGGTTGTACATATGATTAAAAGACGCTGATAATAATCATTTATGATTATAACAACATTTGTTTTTCTACTAATCATTCATTTTAGATATCGTGTCTGCTCCTGTTCGTTACACAAGCTTGCGAGCCATTTGATTCAAAGAGAAGGAAGGGGTTGTGACAAATTCAAGAAAATGGTTGATATAGGGATGAATTTTGCAATTTTTTTTTCATTTGAAGTGGTTTAATCACTGTTGAATATAATTATGTATAAATGTATCAAACTAGTCTTGGGATATTCTTTTATGAATATAAATATATAAATGTATAAACTCAATCTTTGAAAATTTTATTTTATGAATATAATTTTTAATGTGTTGATTTTTTTTATTTGCTAGCATATTCATGTATGATTAGTACTTTATTTTTATTCATTTATAAATGTTATCTCTAAATTATGATTTATTATTTAGGATTACAAACATATATTTTTATAATTACAAATGTGTTATTCAAATATGATTGAAATTATTTTGATGAATATTAAATTAGAAAAAAAGGAATTTTTATTTGACAAAAAAAAAGATAATATAAATTATCTTTACCATCCTTTAATAAAAGAAATAAAAAAAATCGGTTCATATTTTATTTTAGGTAGATAATCATTATCGTTAAATTTTAGGAAATTAAGATTTGAATTTAATTTGATTTAATTTAAAATAAATAAACAATTACTAATATACTCTTATAATATGATTGGTCCAGAAGTGTTCTCGCGTTCTCAATCTTTTAGGTGTTCTCATTTGATCATTTCCCTATATATATATATATATATATATATATATATATATATATATAGAGAGAGAGAGAGAGAGAGAGAGAGAGAGAGAGAGAGAGAGAGGATTAATGGAACCTGATACATGCTCAGCCTCATACCCTTTGTAAAGTGAGGTTCATTTTTTACTTCATTCAATTTTCAATTCTACATTGCCATTTGTTTCTTTGATAACGAGGAATATATTTGTTTATAAGGTTTATATATTTACTTTGCTTATTCATGTAATAAAATTTTATTGATGTCAACAGTGCATTTCATGTATTATTTGGTTTTACACATTCAAACTTGAAATGGTTTGAGTCACAATTCTCAAATAGAAAAAAAATGCCTTCCGACCCATTTCTAATTAAATACTTACCATTTACTGTATAATTAAATATTTAAAAATCACAAAGTTATTAAAAATGCAATATTACAATTCATAAGTTTTTTAAATTAATGAAATATTATTTTATTACATGATTAAATTTTAAATTCTATTTAAAATTAACACTCGTGGGTTCCACGGGTTTTAACCTAGTATGTCTTTATAAGATGGACTGCTTATTGCCACATCACTATGCCAACTAAGCCTGGTTAACTTGGTAACCGGCTAATTTTAGGTTCAATCACCTAATTAACAGGTAAAATGCAATGTAAATGATCTATTGTGCATAAAAAGTATTTGAATGACTAAATATATAAATTCGTCAAACTTTGTTGTGTTATAGTAGCAAAAACCTTTAAAAAAAAACTAAAATTTCAATGAGTTATGTTATATTGTTATTGTATTTTGCTTATATAAAGAAATTCCTTTGGAACATATTTTCGCGTCTTCAAAGGATCGAGCTAAACGTCACCGTTTCAGATGACGCATCAACTCACATACCACCATATCACAGTCTAAGAGGAACGAAGGTTCGGACGTTCGGGTGCATCCGTAAGATATGCCAATTTACGTCGAATTATAAATCACAACCAGAGATCAAAACAATCAAATATGTTTGCACAACAACCTTACTGTTGCCGGAATCTTCTACACAATTGGTGGTGCCGGTGAAACCTCGGCCATCAATTTTACAACCTCCGGCGTCCGAACGGAGGAAAAACATTAAACACCACATAATCGATCATCTTACCTTATTAGAATTTGGATTTATTTCGAGTTGAGAGTGATCAATAATTAGATCGAAACGGCCGAAGGAGAACGTCATTCTACGATGGATCTGTTCCGATCAGAGCCAATGCAGTTAACCCGGGTCATCATTCCTGTAGAATCTGCTCATCGAGTTATTTCGTATCTCGGTGAACTCGGCCTTTTTCAGTTTAAAGATGTATGCTTTATTATTCTAATCTATTTACAATAACAAATTGACATTTATTATGCCTATTGATTCAGGATTGTTTCAGTTTCGTTTTTTCAAATCGGAGGGAGTAATGAACCTCATCTATCTCGTTATTACACATGATTTTTCATCTTTTATTGACTGAATAGTTATAATCTGATCTCGTAATTAGGGTTTTCCTTTTCTCATTTTGTCTGTTTCAGTCTTTGACAATTCCTTTTGGTTGATTGATACTTCTGATAATTAGTCGATTGACCTACTACATAAGCCTAGTGTCGACGTATATATATAGAAAGTAATTTTTTTTCTCTTTTCTGTGCGTTTGTGTTGGGCTTAATCAAGAATATTATAATCATTTACCTGTTTAGAGATCATATCTAGCACAACCAATAAATTATTGTTACTTAATCTACTTTTACAACATTTTACCTATATGTATACTGAACCTATTTTTTCTGATAATCTTTTTCTATTCTACTTGTGTAGCTCAACATGGAAAAGAGCCCATTCCAGAGAACATATGCTACTCAGGTATGTTCAACATTATCATTGACCTCACATGTATGTTTTGATGACGTTTGTGTTCATATATTACAATATTGCCTAACAAAACATATATATAAGAGTATAAATTCCTGCTCCAGTGTCATAGTCCTCATTGAGAATTATACACAGTATGTCAAACGAATGAAAGCCTTGTAAGGCACCAGAACCTGAATTAAAAGGTCTAAAAAAGCATTAGCACTTAAGTGCTCTCTAAGGTTATAGTAATAATACACATACATATGGTAATGAGTGTTATACATGATTGAAACACACTAGAGCACTTCCTTGCTCCTAAATATTGTAGATTTGTTTGGTTTATATACATTTGTACCACATTAGATGTCATAAGGTCAGTAAACATCCATAAGATTCTCAAATTAATGGTTCAATCCTATTAGTCACAAATTACACTACGAAAATAGGAACATAAATCAGCTTTTGTGGTATACCAAGCGAAAGAGTTTTAACCGGAAATATAGGAGTCGGTTCCAAGTTAAAATACAACCTTTTTTTTTTTTTTTTTTTTTTTTTTTTTTTTTTGGATTAAAATAGGTTTTAAATGTATAAAAAAACTTCATCTTTTGATCTTGATAAAAATATATAAAGATATTGGCTTGAATCACCACAAAAATGATGAAATATCAATTAACTGAATTAATTTTAACAATGGAAAAGGTTTCATTGTTAACTTTGCTTTTACACAATTTTCAATTTTTCAAAATCTTTAGTAAGAACGATTTTATTGACGTGAGTAAATGATTCATGTAATGGAAATTAGTGTGACCCATTCCAAAATGCAATAGCATTATTTCACTATCCTTAGAGGTAACTGCAAAATACTCATTTAGGCCTCATAAAAATAGTAGATCCTCTTGTATTCTTTACCATTGCTAATATTCTTCCCCAATGATGGATCCTGAAAAATATAATATGAGGGAAAAAAGTAGCTAAGCAATTAGCTTTTTTGTGAACCTTCAATATACGCACTTTCTGGATTCATGTCCCACTTTATGGGGGCTTGATTTATAAGAATCTGAAAAACGGGATTGAAGTCTAATGTTTAAGTGGATAAATACAAGTTTATCCGCTCTCTTGCAATTTAAACGATTCCGCTTGACATTATGGATATAAGATTATGTACTCCAATTTCTCTCCGCCGAAGAGCTACTAATCGGTTGGGAGAGTACTTTTTTGCTACTTCTGGAGTCCCCGATCCATATGTAGCCCACTAATTGATTATGTCAATTGTCACAGCATTGACTTGTGTTTCAGTCCTAAGAATAAATTCCTTTCTTGATATGAATTTGTGCAATTTCTTCCTGTAATATCCTTTATTCTTCTTCATTTTCTGCAATTATTTGAAATGCTTCCATAACACCAAGTATAATTTCTTTATCTTGATTAGGAGCTTTTCTTGCCATGTCACATGGAGCCAACTTTTCTAGATAGTATTTATCATCAAATTGTGGACTTAAAGCAAACCCCAAACAATGTAGTGGAATGAGATTGTCATTTTCTCCCACCTAGCCACAACAATTTTTTCAACTTGAGGGTAGTAACTTTAGTATTTATTTTCCCTCCTAACATCTTTCATTTCACCTAGCATTTTGTCAGTTTTTTTCGTATATTTCTCCTATTTTGGTACCTTCACCATCACAAAACTTAATTAGCAAATAAATGGGTTTTTGTAATAGCCAAAATATTCACAACATCTTCCCAAAACTCGTCATCTTTAATTGTATCGACGATCATTCCCACTTTTGACCCATTCCCGCCAAGAACTGAGGATGATAGTAGTTGCATGTGCCTCCCTACAATCCAATAACCTTCTCAAGAGGATATAATGCGATGTAAAACGTGTATTTGCAACCTTCAATAACTCTACTGTGAGTTTTCCCTAAAAAAATGATAAGGCATGGGTGTGGTTAAGAAAATACTTCACAATAGCCTTACATTTCTTATATGTGGATGTTAGCCGATAAAACTTGAGCACTAAGTCTTTAAAAGTATGTTTATATACCTTATCGATCTCCCACCCCGCTGCTTTGCAATTAGCCACGTTATACTTTACAACTTACAAAACATTGCTTGGTCCAATGTTATTGATGGATCTAAGAGGAAACTTAGAAATCGCTACCCCCGTTTTATTCACCCCTAAAAAGTCTTTAGAGTACGTAAACATTACACGATGCAAATTAACCGCAAGAACATTGATCAATGGAGTATGTTTAACATTAGAGTACTCATCTGAGACAACTTAGAGTCCTTATATGTACCATGTGTCTTTAACCGGTGTTAGCTCCTTCTCCATATCCCTAATACATTCATTAAGTAAGGCAGTTCCCACTTTTTCACACAATGGAAATTTGTAGCTGTCCGAGGCTTTCTCGCTGACGTTAACCATTTCAAGAAATTATGGGTTGCGTAGCACGTTGAATGGAATCTAGTTTGCATACAACCCTCGAATGATCTTCAAGTCCATCATGTTTCTTTCTAATATGCCAAAAGTTTCTTCAATGTGTTTCTTTGGAAACATGTTATGCAGTCGTACCACGTCGCAGTGTATCAAAACGGGGTGCACGGGTTTCTCTTGGAATGTGAATCGAATTGGAAATCTTTACGTACCAAATCGATAAGTGGATAGGACCGATCGATTATAAAATCGCATATGGGTCGATTTATTTGGTGTACCGCTTCAACTGGAAACGCAATTGGAACGTTGACTTTCACTTTGGCTGGAATTAATGAAACGTTTGGAAAAAATGTCGAGTCCTCGATTTCCAATGAATTCAAATGTATCATGCTAACAATATTTTGTATATAAACATATAACGATTCACGATTTTTATCATCCCATTTCAAACCTGTTCCAGTTTATTTTCTTCTCCAATCTTTCTACTGTATGTGATTGGAAAAAATGGCATTTGGAAGAAATACCAATACTCCAATAGATAGTGAAACACAACATCCATATTAGTGAAACATAACCAGATTATATTGATGTTTATGATGAAGTACAACAAACTCAGGAAAGATCAACAAACCATGAAGGAAAGGATGCAAGCAAAACAATTTTTGAAGAAGTTACATTCTTTGGTTTAGGAAATAGTAAAAATGTCGGATGTTCTAAATAGTTGGTCTATAACCACTATATAGGCAAAATTTACCCTTTCGTACACCCGAATCCATGTCCATTTTTTTAGACCTCCTGTGGGGAAAAACGTCGACATTAAAAGATGTCTAGTCATGTTTAGAGATTAACAGAAGCGAGAAAGCCTTATGAAGAGGTAACAGAAGCAGAAAATGTGGGGTTGCAAACAGTTTAAAGAATTACGTACTCTCCAAAAAATGCATCTGCAAGGAACATCAAAGAATAATTTGTCATATTAGAGATAAACACGGTGGACTTGAAGATAATTCGAGTATTGTGCGGCAACATAATTCATTTCAATGTGTTACACAACCCGCAATTCCTTGAAATGATTAGCTCCATCAAGAATGCACATGATGGATACAAACCCCCGTCGCGTGAAAAAGAGATAACTATTACTTTATGTATACGTTAAGGAAGTTGGGAAGGAGCTAACATGTGTTAAAGACAATTGTTGGGTTTTATTCAAAATCGTTTTCCCGAAAACACTAAAAATGGCAACAAAAGCTTTAAAATTAGAATAAATTTAATTTTTTTTACCCCCTAAGGATCATTTTACAATCGAGGAAAGAATAAATCAACCATATAAATGAAAAGATTACAACCTTTGAAGTCTTTGATTCTCAAAGGAGATTAGAAGTTGATGAAGTGATGCTAAAAACTCCAAAATAGAAGCTCTCTAGAAGTATCCACCAAGCAATACTCAATTACTAAAACATGCTAGTCTTCACTTGTATTAAGTTGTTCTTAAGACTTAAGCCATATACCAACTAAGTCTTAAGGAGAAGCAACTTATAATAACTTAGTTCATGCACCAAATTGTAAGAAAGAAGAGAGGGAAATAGCTTAACGAAAGCCTTGGAAGGCTCCAGAACCTGAATTAAAAGGTCTAGAAAAGCATTAGCACTTGATCTCTAAGGTTATAGTAATAATACACTTACATATGTTAATGAGTCTTATACATGAATTGGAACACACTAGAGCACTTCCTTGCTCCTAAATATTGTATATTTGTTTGGTTTATATACATTTGTACCACATTAGATGTAATAAGGTTAGTATTCATCCATAAGATTCTCAAATCCTATTATTCATAAATTTCACTACGAAAATAAGAACACAAATAAGCTTTTGTGGTATACCAAGTGAAAGAGTTTTAACGGGAAATATAAGAGTCAGTTCCATGTTAAAATATTTTTTTTTTTGTTTTTGGATTAAAGTAGGTTTTAAATGTATAAAAAAACTTTATCTTTTTATCTCGATAAAAATATATAAATATATTGGCTTGAATCATCACAAAAATGATGAAATATCAATTCACATGTCCAAATGAATCAATTTTAACAATGGAAAAGGTTTCTTTTTTAACTTTGCTTTTACACAATTTTCAATTTTTCAAAATCTTTAGTAAGAACGATTTTATTGACGTGAGTAAATGATTCATGTAGTGGAAATTAGTGTGACGTGTTCTAAATGCAATAGTATTATTTCATTATCCCTAGAGGTAACTTTTGGCCTCATCAAAATAATAGATCCTCTTGTATTCTTTACCATTGCTAATCGTCTTCCCTAGTGACGGATCATGAAAATATAATATGAGGAAAAAAAAAGTAGCTAAGCAATTAGCAATTTTGTGAGTTAGCTAACATATAACAGATTACAAGATATATAAACTTGGAATATGGAGGACAATTTTTTAAAGTTTTACATTCCCCTTTCCAACAAATGTTGACAATGATCTATCTACGTATCGAGATACCAGAAATATTAATTGTAGATTCTAAACTTTAGAAACCCAATTTATAACATCCAGATACATTAACTTTAAAGTTTA